TATGATATATAAATGTAATGGAATATTGTTGTGCCGTGAAAAATGATGAAGGGAATGATTTCAGAGAAAACTGGAAAGACTTTTATGAACTGATGCAAAGTAAAGTATCTCACTTGTTGCTGATAACAGCTCTGTGAAGTAAGTGATTTACTATCCTCCCTCTCTTCATCTTATGTATGAGAAAACTGAGGCTAAAACAGGTAAAATGACTTGGCCAGGGTCATACAGTTAGTAAACGGACTAGAGCAGGAACTGGACTCCAATCTTTCTGACTCCAAGTCCAACATTCTATCCACTGAATCAGCTAGGTATTGGATTTATTATATATATTTTAATGCAAAAAGAAGCTATGCGTAATAAATATTCATAGTTGCTTCTACAATGCTCTTTTTCTGTTCTACTATATACATGGAAATGTCCATTTCATTTGGCTTTGATTAAATTCAGATCTTTACAAAATAAAGCAAAAAAAAAAAGGAATGTTCATAAAAAACCAGTATAACCTCATTAAGAATGGGTTGAAATAGACTAATGTAATTTCTATTTTTCACATCAAAATAGGTTTCTAGATTATTGTACAACTGTAGATATAATATACCAACGTCCTACTGAAGCATTTAGCTAAGTTGCTCATAGAATTTGGGGAAAAACATGGAGAGATGTAAGCTAGTATAATTATATAAATTCTGAATTCAATAATGACAAGATATTAATAATAGGCATTAATCTTTCAGAGTTAACTTGGAGTGAATTGTCCTAGACGTCTGTACAACACCCTGTGCAGTTTGACATTTTTATCAATGGTTTCCATAAATTCATGCTTATCAAATCTGCAAAGTCCACCAGGCTGGGACTGGTTGCTAATAAAGTGGGTGAAAGTATTCAAAATAGCTTGACAGTCTACAATATCAGGCTTTTTTTCAAGAAGATGAAATTTAGCAGGGAGATACATATATATATATATATATATATATATATATAGTCTTATATATATATATATATATATATATATATATATATATAGTCTTGTATCTGCAATTTTTTAAAAAATCAATTTCACCAATATATGGTGGAAAAGCAAGGTTAAGCCGAAATTTAATTGCAAATTATTTGGGTGGTGGTGATTCAAATGTGTAGAAGCCAAGAAGATGACTGCAACCTCAGGTAGCAGTAAGAGGTACAGAGCGCAGGGGTGAGGAAGGAGCCCTGGCGACCCCTGGCGGCTGTCTGCGGCCGCCGCGGGCCGGGGAGGGGGTGGGGCTGACGGAGGGAGGAGGGAGGGGGAAGAGGGAGGTGAAGTCTCGGTCCTCTCAGAGGCTGGACCTCCAGGAGTAGCTCACTGCTGCCCTGAGGAATTAATTTAGAAGTAAAGGAAGGAAGGGAGGGAGGGAGGGAGGGAGGGAGGGAGGAAGGAAGGAAGGAAGGAAGGAAGGAAGGAAGGAAGGAAGGAAGGAAGGAAGGAAGGAAGGAAGGAAGGAAGGAAGGAAGGGAGAAGAGGCGAAGAAGGAAGGGAGGGAGGGAGGGAGGAAGGAAGGAAGGAAGGGAGGGAGAAGAGGGGAAGAAGGAAGGAAGGGAGGGAGGGAGGGAGGAAGGAAGGAAGAAAGGAAGGAAGGGAGGGAGAAGAGGGGAAGAAGGAAGGAAGGGATGGAGGAGGGAATGAAAGGAGGAAGGAAGAAAGGAGAGAAGGAGGGAAGAAGGAGTGAGAGAGGAAATAAGGGAGGAAGGAAGGAAGGGAAGGAGAAAAAGGAGGAAGTGAGAAAGGAATGAAAGGAGGAAGGGAGGATCTAGATCTAAAACTCAGCTGTAACACTTCATAGCTATGTGAACCTTCTAAACTTCAGTTTCCTCTTCTGTAAAAATAGATGAAACAATACTCTCTCAAAGGTTGTTCTGAGAAAAGTGCGTTGTCAATTTTAATGCACTATATAAATGTGAACTATCATCATACATTCTGTGAGGGCAAGGATTATGTCTTATTAAATAGCTTCATCAGAGGGAGGAATAGGGACAAGAAGACCAAGGAAGAAATTATTATAGCAGTCCAGACAAAAAGAGATGAGTACTTGAACTCAAACATACAATGGGAGTAGGAAAGAACTTAATGGAAGAAATAATTCAGGGGCAGCGTCGAAAGGACCTGGTAAATGAGGAGCTGTGGAAAGTAATGGAGTGGGAAATATGGCCTCCAAGATTTCAAGCCTGGATAACTGGGCATGCCGCATCATCAACAAAAATAGAGACAGGTAGAAGGATAAGACTTGTCGGGGAAGAGGGCAGATAAAGAATTCAGTTTGGAGCATATTGAGTTTAGGGTGTCAGAAATGCAGCATGTATTTGGAAATAGAGAGCTAGAGGACTGGTATGGAGTTGGTATTAGATATGTGTGTATGCATGTATACACACAATACATGGATACACATATACACATATGCATGTATGCATCTAGAAGGATATACATAGATTAATTAAATATACATATATGCATATTCAATGTGCGTATTGCTATAGATGCACGTATGTGTGTACATGCATGTACATATAGCTATTGCATGTGTATTTAAATTTCTATATAAAGTTATATTCTGATATTAATACATATTATATATACACATGCATATAATTTGAGTTATGTGGAGGTGATGAGAGGCAGTATGGTATAGTAGCTAGCAAGTTAACTTCAGAGTTAACGTCAAAGACCTGAGTTTGAATCCTGCCTCTGGAATCCACATACTGGATGTGTGAACTTGAACAAGTTAGTGAACCTTATAGAATGAATCCCCAGGAACTCTCTAACATAATAATTTTAGAACAGTTTCTGGTTTCCTTATCAGGCATTCCCTATACCAACAAAATCAAAATCTTGACCCTCCTCCCCCACCAAAGTGAATAATTAATATTAAAATTCTTATGTTAAGAACAATGTGTTGTAGAGAAATTCCTTTTGCATCTTTAACTCAGCATAAAAATACATGTAAAATACCAAGTAATTCCCATGTTTACTTGACAGTGTCATCAGGGCAAGTCAAGAAAGTATTAATTGCTTTGATATGGATACAGAGAGAGAGACAGCATAGGACCAAAAATGAAAGTATCATTGTTGCCTTGGGATCAGATGTTCTAAAATACTCAAAGGGAATTGATACTCTCAAATATTTGTGGGAGTAGATGAGATCATCAGTAATAATCATTGGTATTTATATAGTGCTTTAAAATGTGTGAAGCACCTTACATACTTAATCTCATCTTAGTTTCACAGCAATTCCGGAGTACACGCTTCTCCCTATTTTACAGATGAGTCAGTTCAAGCTCAAAGTTAATTGACTTATAATCACTTAGTAAATGTCCAAAGTGGAATTGGAGCAGACATCTTTCTAATTTTGAGTCCAACACTATCCACTATCTCACTCTGCCTAAGTGAGAGAGTGTAGAGAAAAAAATGTTGAAGGACAGAACCATAAGAGATAAGTCACATTTAACAGGGGAGAGGAGAAATCAGGAGAGGAATTATTCTCCTTATGCACTCTAAGATGATTCTATTCATCCTAGATTCTGTTCATCTGTTTCTAGGGAATAGTTGAAAGAATTAGACTGGAACGTTATGATGTTTTGTTTCTGAACTAGCTCTTTTCCTCTATTTAATTTAAATTATTTTAAACCTTCAATTGTGATAATACTTTTGGAATGTAATCCTTACTATTAAGACAATGTAGTCAGGGTGATGTAATAAAGTACTAAATCTGGGCTTCCCTGAAATTTTAGAATCTGAATCACAGACTATAATGATAATGATGGGGCTGATAAAAATAAGTTTTTGGTGGTTTTTTTTTTTTTTTTTTAAAGCTGAAATGATTACCTTCAAAGAGATAAAAAGGAGGGGTATAGTTCAGGGATCCAGTACAAATGAAGTCCTGGAAGAAAATGTCAGGAACTACAAGTTGGAAATCTATCCCTATATCAACCTGTATGCTCTGATATAAAATAAGTTAACATTTTATTTTATTGTTCTAGTCAATAACAGCAATAGAATAGAAGTTATTTAAAAATTAGTGAAAAGGCACATTGTCTGTGAAATGAAAACAATAAACTATTGCCTGAATTTAAGTGAAAATTTTTGTGTGAGAATAATTAGAAACTATTGTTATTATTAACAATTAGTAATAATTGTTATTATTAACAATTAGTAACTATTGTTTGAAAAGAGAGCAGGACAAAGTGTTTCATTAAATTAAAAACATGTGGATAATCATCAGTGTAAAAAAGGCACAGCATACACCTTTTCTGGATATTATTACCTTTATTACAAAACATTAAATATATCCTGTGTTGAGGTAACATTCCAAAGTGTACATAACCAGTTCAGTTAGAGTCTATATACACAGCTTTTATTTGCTATGAGCAAAAGTTACAGCTGGTCACAGAGTTTCAATTCTGGCATTGCACATAATCCAAATTAAGGAACAGAAGCTCAAATTATGTTAAACACAGAATTTAACAAATAAAAGGGAATCTTAGCTACTACTCTCATAGCCCATTCCCACACGCCAGTGATCCAGAATAACTCCTTTTAACATTGGTGTCTTACAGAGAACCCATTGAAAAGGAGAAAATGGTTGACAGAAAGAAGACTTGTTCATTAAACCAAAATACAGCTATCCTAGAATTTTTTAATGTTTTCTCCAACCAAATATTTAATCACTTAAAACTCACTTATGAAAGAATCTTCATCTTATGGCATTTCTTCCAAACCCAAGTTATAAAGCTATAACACAAAATCCTTTCGTATTTCCACTATCATAGACAGTGTGTCTTCGGGCCATTTCACATCCTGTGAACTTTGATGGAAGAGTAATTCCCTACAAATAACTATGGTGTGCCATTAATTATCTTCCAAAAGAAATAAATCCAGGTCATCCTAAGCTTGGCAGGATGAATAAATCAAAGCACCCCTATTTTCTTCTCCCTCTCCCTCCTTTTTACAAAAATACACTTTTGAGCTAATGCTAATAGCCATCTTGGCAGTCATTGTCATCATGGTCTCCGGTGGGTCGGTTGTGATAACTGTCAACTACCAGCTTTCTACTTTCTACCTCTATGCTTCTGGACAGGCTCTCTTCATCGCTAACTGATTGACTTTCGTGAGAATTCACGTTTTCTTTAAGCTTACTGCTTTCCTGAAATGCTCTTTCTTCAGATTGAGTATTTCCCTCTCCTTGTAGCTGTTCAGAGCTCCTTTCCCCACTGTCCTCCTTGGAAGCGCTTTGGCTCTCTATGGATGAGCTCTGAGACTGGAAGCTTTCCTGGCTGGAGCTGTCTTCATCCTCAGTTGACTCTTTGCTTTCCTCTGAGGTGGTCACACTCTCGTTAGATTCACTGTCGCTTTGTTCCTCTCTAGATTCACTATCTGATTTGGAGGATGTGGATAGATTGCTCTCTTCAGAGGAATTACTACTGTCTTCCTTATGAACTTCAGATAGACCGACACTCTTTCTATCAGAGTCAGGGTTATCACCCCGTGAAACATTTTCATTCTCTTCCTGGGATTTACTTTGTTTTTCATGAGAATCATCGTTGTCATGTGGTCTGGACTCCCTGCTGAGATCCCGCACATTTTGGCTGTTTTCCTGAGACTGGCTGTTGCTGTTTTCACGGGATTGGCTCTTTTCGGTGGAATCACTCGTGGGTTCTTCCGCGGTGTTGCTATCATTGTTTTCATCCCAGTCATCCTCCTCTGAGATGCGTGCCTTTTGGAAGGAGTTCCTGCCAAGCTGCCCCACCAATTGGCTCACATCCGATGAATCTTGTCTACTCCCCTCCTGACTTCTTGTCTTGTGAATCTTTCTCTTTGAGTGGACGCTGTAATGGATCGTTCTGGAATTACCTGCCTTGCTCCCAATGGTGTCTGCATCATCGCCTTGCATTCCTTCATCATCAAATGAAGAATCATCTCTGGAATTGCTATAGCTTTGTTTACTTCCTACTCCCACGGTGTACTCATCGCTATCGCTGTCATGGACCTTATGACTTTCATTCTCCTCTTCTTCAAGGCTTCTGCTGTCATGATGACTGCTTTCACGACTGACTGCATGGTGACCGACATCTTCCCCATCGGCGGCACTATCTTCGTTGTGTAGAGTACTATCAGAATCATCATCACTTCCAGGCCAGGTGGTTTCACCTTCTTGTTGATGCCTTTCCATGGACCCCTGGCCATTGTCTACATCAACAAAAGTGTCGTCTCCGCTGTCATCTTCATCATCATTCTTATCATCGTCTTTTATTCCACTCTTAAAGGAGCTGTCAGATAGTCTATAACCAGTCTCTTGATCATTAAGGGCCAAGTCTTCCTCTGATTCAGTACTATCACTGTAGTCCATCTTGTCCTCATTTGTCTACATGGAGAAATCAAGATCTACAGTTAGCTTACAACAATTCAGAAGCCAGTCATCTAATTGGTGGGTGTTGTAGACACCTACTCCTCTTTCAGCTTTCTTCCTTATTTTCGCTCATGGCCATATCATGATCCCTTAACATTTCCACTAGATGCTTATAAGAGAATAGGAAAAACACATCTACCACCATTTTGTCACTTTTCATAATATCCAAGCTCCTGAAAAAGCTGTGTGGAAATTAAATGTCTGATTTCTATCCTGGTTTCATAGATTTAGAGTTGCAAGGAACCTTAAACTACATTAATCCAACCCTCTTATTTCACAAATGAGGAAACTGAAGCACAAAAAAAGTTGGAGTGACTGACCCAGAGACACATGTCTAGGACAAGTAGCAGAGTTGGAATCTGAATCCAGGTTGTATGACTCCAGATCCAGGATTTTTTCCCCCACATTACACTATAGCTACATTAGGCAAACATTTTTTAGAGAAACTTTTCAATTAATTGTTTTGTGAAGCAAAAAGAAAATTGTTTTGTAAGGAAAAAGAATTCCATCTCTGTGTCTTTACGCCAACTGTGCTTCTTGTCTCCCCACCTGGCACCTTACCACCTCTTCGTCTTAGTGGCTTCCTTCAAAAGCTCCCCTCAAACACAACCTCCTCTGAGTTATTTCCTGATGCCCCCCATGCTGGTGCCAACACCTCCTTACCTGTTTATTTTGCATACATTTTGTCTCTCTCAATAGAATACAAGTTCCTGGAGGGCAGGGATTCTTTCATTTTTGTCTTTACATACCCATCACCTACCATAAGGCTTGACATATAGTGGGCACACTTGTGCTTGGAAGTAGCCATAGGAAAGAAAAACTTTGGGGGGGGGAGAAGGTTGAAACTACTGTTTATTAAATAAAAGTATCAGTAGTGGTTTTTTTGGAATAACTCATTCAAATAGCACATTACAAAGCATGTTCTTCATGAAAACCCTATGAAGTAAAGGTGTTAAATTATTATTATCCCAGTTTTATAAAAAATGGAAATTGGGACTCGGGAAATTAAGTGACATGTATGTTTATGTATATATAAACATATAGAACATATGTTTATATGCTTATATGTGGTATATATTTATGTGATGAATATATGTTTATGTACACATAAACATATGTGTTGCTTATTTCCTGAGTACATATATACATATACATACACACACGTGTGTGTGTGTGTGTGTGTGTGTGTGTGTGTGTGTGTGTGTGTGTGCGTTTAACATAGTCAAACAATTAGTAAGTGTCGAAGTCAGGTTTGGAACTCAGGTCTCCAAGATCCAGGCCAAAGGCAATTACTCTTTGCAGGTGATTTCCTTTACAGCCTCACCAATTGCTTGGTTCCATTTGCTTTCTTTTATTTTCCTATTCTCCTCTTTCCTCCTCACATATGGTTGCCATTGTCTCCTGTCTTAGAAGCCATTCCACTTTGACCCAGAGGGCTTTCCTCACTTGATCCATCCTGATCCCAATTATAAAGTAAACAATTTTAGGGTGATCCAATGTTCCATCACTTTTCTGAACTCACCTATCATATTGCCACGGCTAGATTAGTAGCCATTTGTTAAAAAAATATTTTTAATTGGAGGAAACTTTTGGTTGTCAAAATCTATAGGTTGTTTCCCCCATCCTCAACCCAACGTTCAAAATAAAATACCAAAATGTGTTAGAATGACAGAAATGGCTTGTTTTTCCCTTTTTGGTACTCAGAACTATTGACATTTCATGGCTTAAAAAATTATATTTAGAACTGTTTCCATATAATTTAAGTCATCACCATTTCCCTCAATGCATAAATAACTTAAATGTTAGGAAAGATTTAATTACCTGTTCCTTTGAGCTATCTTTACTTCCTTCTGATGACTCACTACTCTCCTGAAAGAAGGGAAATACAATTCCAAGTTACTTTTTTTTTTCCTTTTAGCAGTTATAGGAAATAGAAAAAGAACCTCATCTCCATTGCTTGAGGTTCAGGTGTATTATATTTCCCAGGGCCATGAGATGGTTCAAGGTGTGCTAAAGATTGCTTGGGGGAAACATGAGTCAATATAACAGGAAGGAGATAATTACCAAGGAGAGAATTGGTGTCGGTGCCAAATGATTCTGAAGAAAGAGGAAGAAAAAAACAAGTTACTTTTATATAAAAATTTTGTCACTACAAAGATTTAGAATAATTTTAGATGATTTGCTACTTCCTTGGTGTATAACTTACATATTACATGAATAATCTGGAAATATTGTGATGGCATGGTTTTAAAACAAATATTCCTAAGAGACTGAATAAACAGTGGAGGATAAGAAACACGGCCAATTCCATTTAAGTAATATAATCTTAAAGCAGCCGTTTTCAACATGGAATTTAATAGTGCACCATCAAATTCAGAGCATCACCAAATCTGTTATGGATACTGGCAGAAAGATGAACTCCTGAGGTATCCAATGAGGATACTTAAGTATCTTCTTAGTCATAAATTAAGTTCAACGAATTCTTATTAAGTACCTCCCGTGCACAAGACATGTTAAACATGCCACTCTCTGACATTGTGTTGCAGAAGAAAAGAGGCTGTATTCTAGACATTTTTTAAAGTGTGGCAGAAGCAACCATTCTCTGAATGTAGCCTACTTCCTTGTATGACACCCCCAAGGCTGTACAACTCGGAAGACCTTATCTTAAAAAAGCTAAGGACTCCCACTGGATCCTGGGCCTCCTCCAGTTGTCTTGATCTATATCTGGCCAATGGACCCAGATGGCTCTGGAGGAGAAAGTGAGGCTGGTGATTTGGCACAGCCCTGCCTCACTTAAATCCAATTCAATTGCAAGTCATGGCTTCATCCTCCTGATGTCATGGTCCTCTTCCAGAACGAAGGACAAACCACACAACAGCACTAAGGGAAAGGTAATGACCGGTTTAAGCTGTGCCTTGTTACACTGAGAGTATGAACCATCTGGCAGAACGTGATTCTAGGCAATTGTAGTGTGGAATTGACAGGAAGACAGTAGGGGTGGAGAGGGCAGATGTCCAAGGGAGAATAAAGAGAATCGTGTATTTATTTATGACTACAGTTATTCTGCACTTCATATTATTTTTTGAATGACAATGACAGGAAAGAGTCAGCAATATTCTGCATATATGTAAACATTCATCTACAGATGAATCTTGGTCTAATTCTGGCCCTTCTGATCTCTCATTTGGACAATAACCTCCTCATTGATCTCCCTGCCTCATCTCTCTCCTCTGCAATCAATCCTCCATACAGCTACCAAAGTTATTTTCCTAGAGTGTGGGTCTGAGCATACACCTACCTAACTCAGCAAATTCTTTTGGCTTCCTGTTACCTCTAAGATGAAATATAAACTCAGTTTGGCATTTAAATCTTTTTTAACACAAGCCACCCCAACTTAACTTTCCATCCTTATTATATGCTACTGCCCTTCATACACTCTGGCCTTTTTGCTATTCTTCCTACAAAGCACTTTCTCACCCATCTCCAGGCCTTTGCACTAGATCTTATCCAATCAGCTGAAGCACCACTTCCTCCATAAAAGCTTTCCCACAAAGAATCACCTTGGCTTTATTTTTTACATATATTTATATATTTCTGTAATACCTACTTGACTAGGCTCTCCCACAGAGATTATAGATACTGTTACTTTGTAGGTTTGGACAGATAGGTGACACAGTGGATAGAGTACTAGGCCTGAAGTCAGGAAGACTCAGCTAACGGCAAACCTCTCCAGTATCTTTGCCAAGAAAACTCCAAATGGGGTCATGAAGAGTTGGACATGACCAAACAACAAAAATTTTGTAGGTTGTTTCCCTCAATAAAATGTAAGGTCCTTGAGGCCAAGAACTATTTCATTTTTGCTACTTTGCTGGGCACACACTAGGTGCACATTAATAACTGCTTGTTGGTTGATTGATTCTATGTCCTTTATATTTATTTGACCAGGAAGGAACTTTAAGGTCATCTAGTCAAATGTTGCATCTAGTTTCATGTTGCATATGAAGAACCTGAGGCCTAGAGGGGTTAAGTGATTGCCTGAGGTCATACAGGTAGTAAATGGAAGAATTGGAATGTGAACCAAGGTCCTCTAAATTCAAATTCAGCACTCTTTCCCTGGTGCCATATGTTGTATCCTCCAATAGAATGTAAGCTCCTTGAGGGTGGAAATTACTTCATTGCCTCATCTTTGTGTCCTCAGTACCTAGCACATAGTACTTTGGGAGGTGGGGGTCTGAATCATTGATTTCATTGGTGTAGGAAAGATGTCACCAAACTATATTGATTACACACCTATATCCATTTAAAATTTTTTGGTTATGGACCCCAATGTTGTTATTTTTACTTATAAATTATCTTTACAGGGAAAAGGACTTATTAGTACAAAAATATTTATAGCAGCTCTTTTTTGTGGTGGCTAAGAATTGGAAATCAAGAGGATGCCCATTAATTGGGGAATGGCAAAAAAAGTTGTGGTATGTGATTGTGATGGAATATTATTGTGCCATAAAAAATGAGAGCAGGATGATTTCAGAAAAAGCTGTAAAGACTTACATGAACTGATGCATAGTGAAGTGAACAGAACCAGGAGAATGTTGTACACAGTAACAGCAATATTGTATGATGAAGAACTGTGAATGACTTAGCTATTCTCAGCAATACAATGGTCCAAGACAATCTGAAAGGACTCATGATGAAACATGCCATCCTCCTCCAGAGAAAGAACTGATACTGTCTGAATACAGACTGAAACGTTATTTTTTACTTTCTTTTTCTTCCTTCCTGTCTTTCTTTCTTTTTCTTTCTGTCTGTCAGTCTTCTGTCTTTCCTTCTTTCTTTTTCATTTGAGTCTTCATGTATAAAATGACTAATGTGGACTAATATGGACTAATTAGTCATGTATAAAATGACTAATCATGTTTTACATGATTGCACATGTATAAACTATATTGGATTGCTTGCCATTTTAGAGAGGGGAAGGGGACAGAGGGAGGGTCAGAATTTGGAACTGGAAACTTTTATTAAAAATGTTAAAAAAATTTTAACATGTGATGGGCAAAAATAAAATATTACATAATAAATAAATAATCTTTATAAATTATTAAATTAGTACCATGTGAATAACTATAAACATTATAAAATTTACACAAAAAATAAATGTTTAAAAGCTGAGATAAAGAAAAAATTAATATTTTACCCTATAGTCAATAGGGAGACACTAAATTTTACTGAATAGGGGAGCAAAGTAACATGGTCAGACCTGCACTTCAGTAAAAATCACTTTGACATCTGTAGAGAGGTTGGACTTGAGGAAGAGAATTAGGAGGCTATTGAAATTGTACAGGCTAAAGGGGATGAGGGCCTGAAACAGGATTGTGGCTATGTGAGTAGAAAGGAGGCAGATGCAAGGGATGTTGTAGGGGTGGAAACAAAATAATTTGTAAACTGATTGGACACGTGGGGTGAATGAGAATGAAGAATTGAAGATGACGTCAATCTTATAAACCAGAAGTTTGGAGGTGTCCTCAACAGAAATAAGAAAGTTTGAAAGAGGGGTGGATTTGGGGAAAAAGATAATATAACTAAATCTGAGATGAACCCATCTATGCCTGTTTATCCTGTGAGACTCTTGTGAGATATACCACCCCAAATGAAAGTGAGGAATGGAATTCTCACTTACTGGCCACTATAACTCCAACCATAGATTTTATCTCCAAAGGGTACCCGCAAAACCCACCAGGCGATCTGGGGAGCAGAAGATGAATATGCTGAAGGAAGGAGAGAGATGATTTCCCCAATGGCACTTACACAGTTACTGCTGCGGATTCCTAGTAAGGATATAAGGGCCTCAAAGGGCCTATACCCAATTCAGAATGGGGGAGAAGGGAGCTTGTACAGTGGAAGAGCAAAGCAGTTAGTGGGGGCTTTGGGAGGCTAGAAAGGGGAATTTCTTTGGAGATGCATCCCATGACTGTCTATCACTGAGAAGGTGAGATGAGATTCATCTTCCTGTTCTTTGATTGGTTGATTTCACATTTCTCGGGGTTAAATAATTTTCCTTTTTGGGGTCAAGCTATGGCCCCTCAAGGGTTTCTGGGCTATACTTTGAAAACCACAGGTATGAAGAATTTTTATTAAGAAAACTTACCATAAAAATAAGTATCAGCACCTTCACCGGCACTAAGAGGTTGACTTGCCCAAGGTCATATAGTCATTATATGTCAAAGGCATTACTTGAACCCAGATCTTCCTGACTGCAAAACTGACTCTTCACATACCAAAACATTTTGCTTCTCTTACTATACTTAATGATCACTAAACCAGCAATTTGGTCACCATCTAAAGAATAGTTATAACTATTCTTTATATGCCAGTTATAACATTCAAATGTTTCAAAGATTTTCTAGTTGTGTGACTTTGAGCAAATCACTTAACCTCTGTTTGCCTCAGTTTCCTCTTCTGTAAAAATAGAAATAATAATAGCACCTATCACCCAGGATTGTTGTGAGGGTCAAATGGAATAATATTTGTAAAGCACTTAGTACTGTGCCTGGCACATAGTAGGCACTATATAAATGCTAATTATTATTATTATTATTATTATTACTATTGTTGTTATTTAGAAATATACCTTGCTCAACTTACCTTCAATTCTTCAGAACTCTCAGAATCTGTGTTTGGATATTTGGTGACCTAGATTAATGGAAAACACACGGTTAAATGTTCAGAACAGTTTTTAGGGAGGTGGTTAGTTACATACAGCATGCTCAAACCACCCAACGTGGAGGCACACAACTTCCGTGCATTCCCCTACCAAATGGGGATGAGTAAGCTCCTTGCATTGGCTGTGTAGTTGGAAGATGCTACTTCTTAAAAACTGCCAGATTGGGCCAGTCTTGCTTTCTTTCCTGTGTACTCTTTCCTATTGTGTCCAAAATCACACAGAGGTCACCCACAGCACGAGAGTCATGGTGAGTGACTTTGGGGCCAGGAATCCAGTTGGGCCAGCTGAGAAGCCAGGGTGCCTAAGACTTGAACCTAAGAAGGGCTTTGGATTTGGAATCTAGTACTGTGCTCTATAGGAAGTGAACTAAGCTAAGAACCTAATCCCTTCCTCCTCCCCAGAGACTGAGGTGGTATAGAAAAGGGAATAAACCGCATGTACCAGGGAGTGATTCTGTATCTTTGTGATTATAACTTTGAAATAAATATTTCTTTGTAAAAGTTACAAAGGAAGTTATTTGACTGTTAGTGGGTAAATGGAATTGGCCTATTAGGGATTCATCCTCTACAGTTTAAGGAACACCGTGGATAGAGGCTGGAGCCAATGTCAAAGAGCCTAAATGCCTTTAAGGTTACTGGAAAACCCTGGAGAGAAGGATGAAATGTAACATATCTGGCCTTCAGGGATTGGAGCCTGGGTAGACAATGCTTCATGCAGGCACTCGAGTGCACACACACACACACACACACACACGTGTGTGTATATGCACATGTGTGTAAATACATGGTACTTTAAAAACATTACATATACTTTACATATATTCTATTATGTATACATTTAATTTAATACTTCATACATATAGTTACTGGATCCATGATTTTATTGGAATGGGAATACTCAGCGAGGTAAATTAGGTCTGTGATTTGTCTTGGAGATTTGCCCAGAATTAGCCAGCCAGAATCTATCAGAGGCAGGATTGAACTGAGGTTTTTGTTTTGATTTTTTTTTTTTTGATGATTTTAAGGCCAGCTCTCATTGTACTAAACCACAGATGCCATACATGCCACCAGTGCCACTAAATCAGAAAGCATCACACATGGAAGCTTTTCATTAAGCATCTTTGATTTTACCCAAATGGAGCAAGTTTGATGGTCTATGTTCAGGTTGATGAAAATTTGGTGGTTGTATGTTTGGAAGGTTCGATTCAGAAACTGCCAGAAAATCTCTACTTACAGGAAGAGCACAGGAGAACCCCCAGAAGAAAATTAGCAGGAAAGTGGTCTTCATAGTTGATAATTAAGATGTTTTCAACCTAGAAGGAAGAATATACATGAAATATTCTATCTGGGATAATAAGATGCATCATCCTGTAAAATCCATTAACATTCTGAACATTTCATCTTTTAAAAGTCTCACTTGTAACAAATTCTGTAAGTTTCAAAATCTGAACACTTTGAAATAGGAGCCACCACTTAGTGTTTTCATTTTCTTTTAAATAAATAAATGGGAAATGAGAAATGAGAAATCCAAGATTCTTCACTTATATAAGGATTATGCAACCAAGGAAAACTATACCAAGTTCTTAACAAATTCATTCTAGCCCCACTAATGTAATCTAAGCATATGCTCATGAACATTATTCTTCCCATAAAAGCCACTGGTACTCCAGACTCCAATTTTAGAACCACAGAGATAATTTACAGACAAAAGTGGTGGGTTTCTATTTTAATTCGGAAGCAGATGTTTCATGCACTTTGTTATTACAAACTTACGTTATTACAAATTTATATAAGTCTACTAAGGAGACTTACATAAAGTATTCCAGTTCTGGCAAGTTTTAATGTATGTTTTGGTGTGCAAGTTGTACTATGCTAATTACTTATAAATATCTTCCAGATTACTGGAAAAAATCTAAGAATCATTATTGGTTTCCCAGATACTGGAAACACATATTAGAAATATAACTGAACATGACCTTTTTTTGCCCTCAAGATGACTTCACTAACAATTCAAGATATTGAGGGACATGAAAAATAAGTTCATAGTCTAAAATTTGCTTGCTATTTCAAAATAAATTAGGATAAAGATATTAATAAAACAATGTAAATATCTGGTATAGAAATTTGGAAGTCATTTGCATTGGTATGATAATTCAGTTCATGGGAGCTGAATTATGGGAAAGGAAAGGTAGGGAAGGAAAAGAAAGGAAAGGGGAGGGGAGAGAAGGGGAAAGTAAAGAAGGGGAGGGTAAGGAGAGGGGAGGGGTTAAGGAAAGGAGGGGAGAGGAGGAGAAAGAAAGGGAAGTGAAGGGAGGGGAAAAGAAGGGAAGGGAGGGAAAGGAGAGGGGAAGAGGGGAAAGGATGGAAGGGAAGAAGGGGGGAGTGAGGAATGGGAGGGAAGGGAAGGGGAGAAGACAGAGGGGGGAAAGATGATGATGAGTCAGTAGACCTTTAGAAGGAAGGATATCTTATAATTTAGTCTCTTGCTTCGTTTCATGTGACAATATTTATGATATGTCTCAGCTATGCCCCTGACAAAGGTAAAGGGATCATCTGTTTTCTCTATGCACATCAGACCAGTGCCACCACATGGAGGAAAGATACAGCTTGGTGAGCTTGTGCCTAGACACCAGGCTGTGTTTTCAACTCTGTTAATGTCCCCGAGTCACCAAACAGCAGCCTCAAAGTGGAAGAGTCCAGGCTTGGAGGTGACCTAACTAGTTCAAGAGGTCCATAAATCCTAGGTCCAATGAACAGATGTGGCTGTTGCCAGGAAAAGTTTCAGCAACAGAAAGGATGGGTCCAAGCCTGGCATAACACCGGATATGTTAGTTTGCAGAGTTGTTTAGACATTCAGGACCAAGATGAAAAGTAAAATGCCAAATTAGCTGTCCTGCATACTATTTCATGTTCTGATAAGGTTTAAGAATCTATCGTCTGAAAGAGCATAACTATAATTACAAGTTAAGATGTTGAATCCTGTTTTAAGCCTTCCCTTTTGCTTATGAGAGTTGTTTGTGTTTTACCATTTCTTTTGCGTGGATTCCTGTTGTACCTTTCTACTTTCCCTTGTGAGGAAAACGTAGTCGTAAGCCTAAAGCTAAGCCTTAAGCAATTTGTCTTGGAGATTTAAAAAGCCAAATTACATGACCAAAAAAAAAAAAATTAGCCTCAGTCTCCTTAGAGGTCAGGCTTCTGTAGTACTGACCCCAGTCCAGAAAGCATACCTGACTCCAGAGCTGAGGCACCATTTAGGGAGAGAAAATGGGTGGAATCCCAACGCCTGGGAACTCCCCAGCAGCTCCTTGATATTATATAGTAGAATCATTAACTAAGAGCTGGCAGTAACCCTAGAGACAATCTAGTCTAACCCTTTCTTTTTAAAGATGAGGAAACCAAGACCCAGGGAAGTCAAAAGTTAACCCAATTTACATGTACAAGGAAATTAAAACTGTTCCCTATAACCACCTTATGGTTTAGCTATGTCTGGAGAACAAAGAGAATGATAAAAATGTAGAGGAAAATTTCTCAAATTTTCAAATGCAAATAGCTTCCACTCCAGAATGGAGTGGGGCTCCATGTGGGCTCAGGTGACTCTTTATGTGAACTTTTAAAGGAAGAAGAGAGATCATTGGTGAAATTATATTAGTGAAACTGGAAACCAGTAACTGTTGTAGTACAAACTAAAAGGTCATTCACAGAAAATGTGGGTTTCATCTTGACCTCATTTTCCACTTCCTTATCCATAAAGAAAAGGGGACATTGTTGATTAAATTTGAAGCCGGGGATGGAGGGGGTGGGAAACGACATGGTCTCCAAAAGTTATGGTTTGCTCCTTTATAAGCTACTTCTTGGCCACTTCAAGACTATTAATTTACTCACTTTAACCACTAGGGATATTTAATATACTAAAGCAATACTTTGCTAAGAGTATGGTAACCTTGGCAAGCACTAGTATGACCATCTTAAGTTACGTTTTAACTTCAGTGCTTTTGACGGAAGAATTTGACTTTTCTAGTGTTACAGATTTCTAAATGAAAAAATAATAGTGAACATTAACTATCGTAATGAAATAGACTCAAACAGGTAAAGGACCTTATTCTGTACCCGGGCAAAGTAGGTCATAGAGATTGGCAAAGTCATCAACGCACAAAAGGGAGACCTGCCTTCCAGATCTTTGCCATCAGCAGAGGATAGTCCCATTTTATAGTGATATCAGAAAGCACCATAAAAGAGTTAAAAAACAAATATTTCTCAAAGGCACTATGCTAGATAGACTTATAAAAAGTAATATCTAATTGATAAGATTGCATTTTTAAAATACTTTACAGAACTAAAAAAAAACTTTAAGAGGTTCTGGGCAACAAAAGCATTTCAAATGGTAAAATATTGTCAGATTCTATCTTGGGCTAAATTTGCGATTTAATTGTTACGGGGAAATTCCCTTGAGGAAACTTTCTTCTAATCCAGATTGACATCTGTTCTGCCACTTATAGATAGCCTTGGAGGGTTACCCTGGGCACTGAAAGGTTAAGTGACTTGTATATGGAGGGGAGGGGAAGGCACTTGAACCCAGGACTTCCTGACTCCAAAGCTTGTTCTTTATCCACTTTGCCATGCTATCTCATCTCAGATGCTTAGGTATTCAAATTTGTGCCAGAAATTCTGTAAAATCAAGATTCACTTGCAAGATGATAACATGTGACATTTATATAGTTTTGCATACAACATGACTTACTCTCATTATCACATTTGATCTTCATAATGAAGATAATTATCATTCCTTTTTTACATATAAGGAAACTGGCTCAGAGAAGTTAAGAATTTCTCAGAGAACTGTCTGAGGCAAGAGTCAAACGGAAGTCTTTCTGTCTCTAGTCGCATATCTACCATACAATGTTCCTCCCATGTTTATTTATAAGGGAAGAAATAACCCAAAAGGAGAAAATAAAAGGCAAAAAAAAAGGAAGTTAAGTTCTTTTCACTCCTTAAAAAAGGTTGATATGAATTCAATATGTAATCTTATATGCAAATTTAGTATCTGGAGGCACACTTGAACAGAAATGGTTTTTAATGTCATCCTCCAATCTCCATTCAAGTCCTAAGCCATGAGCCTGGGCTGTCAAAGACTAGGGCAGGTGAGTACAAGCTCTATCAGATGCCACAGGCTGGAAGGTCTGGGTCCTGAGGAGACAGTCTGCAGGTACATTGGCCAGGAAGCAGCCTGGCCATATTCAGAGAGACTTTTCATCCGATTAGCTGCAGATGATGAATTGTTTAACCACATCTGATTCTCAAAGACTGACACATAGTAGACACTTAATAAACATTTATTGAATTGAATTGAAAAGACCTTGTACTAAGCCATAGAGGAGGGTGATTCTGCATTACTGGGGCAAGCACTCGCTCATGACATTATGGATCTTTGATTTAAAAAAAAAAAGATAAAAATAAAATCTACATTTGGAAGAATGCAGGCAACTGGTAGTCTCTAAGTTGCTTGAAATAGGTTTCTGCTCTCTATTTGGAGGTGATAAGTTACAATAATACAAATTCGTATCAGGTATTTACTTTAAATCAAACACAATTGCTAGGTTTGTCCCAAGACCCATAAAAATCAACCCATTCTCCTGTACTTTCTACATCTGAATGTATGCTATGTTTGGACTGATGATCTCTGAGGTGCTGCAGATTCAATCGTGTTCAGTATTCAGCGGGAAGTATACTGAACATGAATACTAAACTTTTTTTAAAGTTACAAAGGTTGGACAAAGGGGTTTCTAGTTATCTCTCAGTTAACAAGAAAATCCAGTTAATCAGAACATAAAACTCCGTGAAAATTCGGGCTTTTCTGCATTGTGCTTCTTACACATGGAGCCATTGAATAACTCCTGGAAGGTAGGGTTTATGAAAACATAATGCTGAGATAGGTATACTTGGATAAGGAACAACTCTCTGGGCCTTTAATACCTTATTTAGGTTATCTCTAAAATTGCTTTCAGCTCTAAATCTTATGAATTGTTTCAGGACATTTGGCAAGAAAAAGTGGAAGGGTGGGTATTCTGGACCTGTGATTTCATCAATTGTAGGGAACTTTCCTGTCAGATCAGCAGCTCATCTATAATTTAAGGCCTTAGGAATTTGCCTGGGACACTGAGAGGTCCAGGGTCTTGCTCATGATCTCTTAGTGTGTATCAGAGGTGGGATCTGAAATAACATCTCCTTTACGTCCTATACCATGCTGCCTTTGCCCTCTTAATTCCCTTTCTCCCTTTCCTGAAAGACAGG